TGTATGAATATGTGTATTTTGCGCTTAGTTTGCCCCTAAATCGCCATTTTTATACCGATATTGCGAGATGTTCCAAGCCTGCGGCTCGCCCATGGCAGAAACCCCGAGCCCCCCCCCCCTCCCACTGCCCTTACGATTCCAAACCCCCAACCCTCACCCTCTGGACTGAACATAGGGGGTCAGCTTCAAAATGACTTACCCTATGATTTGCAACGTATGTACGATCGGATTGTGTATGAGTCACTGCGTGAGTCGCGGCCGCGCGGGGCGGCGGCGGTCAGCCAGGCCCGGCTCCCCGGCCGGTAGGCCGGGGATCCCCCGGTACTGAGCCGGTGAGTGGAACGTGAGCCGGGCTTCGAAGGGTGTTCGAAGGCATGAGCCGAGGGCCATGATTTGGGAGTGAGTGAGCTGCCAACCCTGCTCGTGAGTGAGCTGCCAACCCTGCGTGGTTCCTGTGGTCGGCCAACCCAGACTCACGGTCTACTTTGAGAAAACCTCTCAAAACAACAAGGCAGTGATATCGATCGAAAGCTTCGTAAGTCTGATCCCGGTTTTGGAAGATTCGATCAAATTTCGACTTGCCAATACGAAACTTTTAGTCAAACCGAAAGCAACGATTTTGGAGAAAATCTCCAAAACCTTCCTCCTGCCAGTCCTGGACGAGACCAACACCGTTTCAGTCTTTGAGCAGCAAGCTAGCCAGGGAGGACGCAATCTGCTGGTAAAGCTCCTGTTTGCACATCCTTCTTGCCTGTGGGATATCCTAGTAGCCCCGATCTTTTCAGTATGGCGGACTCCTCGGATTCTCGCAAGAGAAGCCGGGAATCTGACAGTTCAGACAGCTTAGGCTTTCCAGGTGGAGGGTTTGATGAGGTACTCAGCGGCGACTCTGGAGCAGAGAGTCACCATTCTGGGTCATTGCTAGATGACCCATCTGAGGGCGGAGCAGCTGAAGGCTCTGGAAGGGACCGAGGACCGCGCGCTCCTCCGGTCTATCAGTATGATGAACGAGGGGAGCGGTTACCTAGTGAGCAAGCCCCGCGGCCGCAAAAGCCACGGGCTGAGAGCGGTGGGCAGGGAGACAGGGAGCGAGAGCGCGAGGGGCCTGCAGATGCTCGGAGAGACAGCCTTGGCAGCGGGGTTAGGGAGGACTTTGGCGGGGGTGGTTTCACTGGTTGGGATGAGGATCTTGTTGAAGAGTTTGAGGAGGACCTCTACGACGATGAGGAGACTGCTGAACAAGCTAAACGGAACCCCAATTGGTCACGCAGGACTGAAAGGGAGTTGAGAGAGTGGGAGCAGAGTCGGCATCTCTTCGCAGCGTCATTGCTGCGTCGTCAAGCTGCGGGACCTGGGGCTTGTAAAGAAAAGTGCAGCACACCGGGATGCGCAGGGCTGCAAGCAGTGAGGTGCTTTGACTGCACTCAAGGTCAGCCAACGTGTTCCGCGTGCGATCATCTGCTGCACCCGCACGCTCACTTCCACCGCCGTGAATATCTTACGCTAGAGGGCCAATGCTGGCAGCCAATTGGCCCCGATTCTGAGGTGCAGAATGGGAAGCTGGTGCGCAGCGTCAAGGTCTTTGCCAAGCCTCCCACTGCAGCTTGCGCTGGCTGCGGCATGTGCTTCTGGGGAGCAGCTCGCCCCACTAATAAGCCACTCACAGTTGTCACTTTAGCCGGGAGGTTTGATTTTGTGAGGGCGGCATTCCTTTGCCAGACTGCGGGCTGCGGAGGGTCACATGAGCAGGGCTCACTCGATGCTATTGACCTGGGGGCCTGGCCAGGAACGGTGTCCGACTGTAGAACGATGTATGATACCGCGCTTCTCGAGTTTTGGGGAAAGATGAGCAAAGACCAGCCCGGCGCTTCCATGACAGCGCTCGTGAAAGTCTTGGAAGGCATCTCTCGCGATCATGGAAGAGTAAGGCAGGTTCAGCCTTTGTCCCAGTATGTACTGCTTGCGCTCTCTTCTTTTTATGTCTGTGCCCATGCAGTATGTGAAAGAAAGTACGGAAGTCAGCTCGTTGGCTGCTTTTCAATGGAACGGCTTTCAAGGAGATGTCTGGCTTGCAGTGGCAAACATAAGAAGGGATGGGTTCATGGTTCCTGCAACTAGATGTAATCGGTTGTTGCTAGACGCTGCAGTCAGAAGCTTGCGTTCTGTAACCGAAGCCCTATGGATGTGAGGGCTTCTGAAGGAGATCTGGTTTGCTGTTCGACTGAGCTTCGCTACTTGTCTCGTGACATGGACCTGCAATCCAGTATCGAACCTGGGGCACAATTGCCTGTTTGCTAGCGCTCTTTTGTATCTTGGATTCCAGTATCCTTGAATCATTGTCAGGCGAGTCCAGTTGTGAGGGCATCTTGGGATGAACTTCTTCATTTTAATTGAATCAGGTGCCCAGCATCAACCGTCACACGATGACGACCGCCTTTGGGGAATTCAAGATGGCGCAGCACAGCGCCAAGTACCCCGCCGCTCTACAATCTGGCCTTGTCTGCCCTGCCTGTTGGGCGAAGCAGCACTCATGCGCGGTGGACAGCAACCGGAAGCTGTACCGATGGGCACGCGCGTACGATCCCAGTCGCAAGTCATACTACGAGAAGCTTTTCTTCTCTTCAGACGCTGAGGTGCAAGCGAGCATTAAGGCCATAGACGAGGCGCGGGGTATTGAGAGGCCGGACAGGGCGTGTGGAGCGGGTGATTGGAAAGCGGCAAGGGATTCGAAGAGCGCCATCCGCGGGCAAGACGAAACGGGGTGCACGGTGTGCGGTTGTCGGCATGTTTTTGCGCAGCGGGCTGTGAACATTATCCAGATGGGGGAGCGGTACGCTAATGCGTACTACTTGGACCGCAACTTCATGCAACCAACGGGGGTTGAGTTTCAGTGGCAGGATATAGTGTGCAAGTATTGGGTGTGGCGGGAGAAGACGCTAGAGGCCATGAATCATGGCTCCGGAGGCGGTCTCAAGCCCGCGCTGAACCTCATGCATGGCAAACTCCACTCTTGGCAGTGCCAGATGAGTTATGTGCAAACTCTTCAAAAGTCTGGAGGAAAGTTTTCCAATTGCTCTGTGTTAATCATGTTGCCATACTTCAGCTTGAGTGTAGTCTGACGATTGTAGTGATGGGTCTGTCGAAGCGAAGGTTGCTGGTATACAGAGTACAGAAGGTCTGTCAAAGCGAAGGTCGCTGTTATACAGAGTACAGAAGGTCTGCGGAAGGGTTGTTCTGGACAATCATCTTTCGTATTGATCCCAGCTTCGCTTTTCCCTAGGTATGTATCTCCCCGTCAGTTGCGTTACTCGGATCACCACGAAACAAAAGAAAAACGCAAATGCTCAGTAGTTTCTACTGACTAGAAGAGTGGTTGTGAGTCGTCTGGTCCTCGTCTGGTCTTGTGTCGGGGATGTAACATGCAGGCAACTCACACAGCGTGGGCGGCAAATAACCTCTTTCCGGGCCAGGTTAGACTTCTCTGCTATTTACTTTAGCCCATTCCGCACTGCTTCTCAGTGGGCGATTGTTCAAGGGGTCCCACTTCGAATGCTATTGGTACTGTCAATTCTTTCTTCCGTGCTTGCACCCGCCGTTCACACTGTTGTTCACGTGTACTTCGACGCTTGTCCTGCCACTTTCGTATGCTCCGCTGTTTTGTAGGGGTTGCTTAACTATTTGCAGTCACACGTGTGCGTACATTTTTTGCTTCCGCAGGTGCTGTTTGGAGGACATTGGCAGGAAGGTGCAGCTGCGGGTGCGGGAGAAGACATGGAGCTGCTGTTCTCCTACCTTTCTCGACTCGGAGTAATCACGAAAGTTATGGGTCCCGCAAGTAAGGCGAAGATTTCTGATCGAAAGCTGTTGTCGTTCTCAAAATTTCTGGTTGGAGCGATGCACGCTTTGTCTGGTAGGCAGCCTTTATCATCACCCGAGATTGCCGCTTGGGCCCACTAAATATGAAATGAACTTTTTGCTGATGCACGTTCTTCCAAGCTGAGATGCGGGTGCTGCGGCGGTAGTTGTTGCCGCGAATCTGATTCCTTTCGTGCATCAAGCTTTGATCGCTCTTAACGGCGTCATCTTAAAGGTGCAGCTGCGAATTGTGTATCCTCCTTTACACGCAGGGAGGGTGGACGCCATCACTGAAGCGGTGCTTCACTGGAACGAGGCGAAGGCCCGTGACCTTGCTCGGTCCCTAGTGAACAGGTGACTGTCGTCAAATGCCTTATCAGGAAGAGCGAGTGTGCATTCAAGAAAGGTCGAGAACGGATAATCATCGGATTTGGTTTAGAAAGCTAGAACGGTCGTTGGAAGTTCATCCTAGGCGTTTTTTGCGCGACTAGCTACAAAATTTGCATGTCGTCCGGGTGCCCTCGTTGTAGGTGAAGAAGTTGTCTGTTCCTGATCTAGAGAAGTGAAATCGTTGCAAAAACCAGGCGTTGGAAGTATCGTTGGTTAAGCTTGTGGTGTGAATAACTCGAAAGCCTCACCAGACGTTGATCGTCGGGAGAAACTGAGAACTGAAAGTTCTGTCCTTTTCCGAACACCTTACTCGAGAAGGAATGGGCACATGGTGATTGTACTTTGAAATACTGAGTGGCCAAGTCACAACATATGCAGATGGCTGATCAGCATAGTGTCACGTACGTTTCATAATGGTGAGATCATGTCGTATGCAGGTTCCTGGAATGTCAGAAGAGGATCGAGTCCGCCGTGGTCGCCTTCGAGACCGCGTGCCGGGACATTTTTGGCACGAGTGCTGGGGCGGTACCAACGGAAAAGCTCGAGGGGTGGAAGAACGAGATTCGCGAGGTTGCAGAGGCGCAACTTCGCGACTCCCGAAGAACCAAGGGCTCCCTCGCCGTCCAGTACTTTGTGCTCAAGCGCGAGGTGGAAAGCGCTGACAGCATCTCCCCGTTCGTGAACTCTGAGGCTTTCAAAGATAGTGCCTTATGTTCGGAAACCCTGCAGAATCTTAGTTGCGCAACCGAGGAAATGTTGAAGGGCCGAGATGCAAAAGCTCGGAATGTTAGAGAACTAGAGAAACATTTGTTTCCCGAGCTGCGGGGGCAACCGGTAGGAGTAGAAGAGTTGATGATACTTGAAGCTCGCAGCCGTGCTACGCTAGCCGAGGAAACTGTGCACGCGTTACAAGAAGAGATGGAGGGCATGCTGCATAGTTTAGAGAAGCTCCGTTTGCGAGTGACTAGTGAAGCTGACTCCTCGACCATGCGATCAGCCCTCAGGAAGAAAGAAGCGGTAGTAAAAAAACAGCTAGGAAAGGTTGTCGAACGGTACAATACCATCCTACCAAAAGTCCAGGTCGAAGGTCCTTCTCAACGGCAGCCGGCTGTTCTAGAAGACCTGTTGTCCGGTAGCGAGCTCCCGTGGCAGTTTGATCGGTGTCTCGACGTTCAGCTAGAAGTAAGCTCGGGAGTGCACAGAACTTTTCGGTTTAAGCAGAAGTACGAGTTGGTCGAGGCCTTCAACAAGGTGAGAAGGCTGAGGGAGGAAAGCGATTTACTATTACGAGAGCAACGGAGTTATTTATCGTTTTACACGGCCTGCAAGAGCGAACTAGAGGCGAGGATTAAGTCATGGAACGAGCAACTGTCCGAAGCACCTGAGACTAGGCCACAACAACCTGAAGATGCTAGTGCACCAGAGGTGACAGGTAGATACTCCGTTGTCGACTTCGATATAGCAAGCGAAAGAGACTTGATCGAGGGTACTATCGCTCGGTTGTGGAAAGCACACATCGAGGCCGAAAGACAACTTAGGAAAGGTCGTTTACATTTCCAACAAGGTGCAGGGGGACAAGGGTTGCCATGGCCGAAAAGCAGGACAGACTCTTTTTTAGGGCAGCCGGATCCTTTTGTTGAAGCCGATGATGAAGAGTATTAAATTGAACAAGTCGTTATTCTCATTGCCTATTGGCGAAACAGCGATCAACAAGAAGTCACTTCAAGTTGCGAAGTCGCCGGCCATGCATCATTGCACCGTTTTGAACATTTTTTCTTCGACAGTACTATTCGTCGGTTTCTGACATCCTTGTAAAACTTGAAATGGTAGGTTAGTTGCAACCGTCTTCATCATCAGACCGTTCGCTTATATTCACATCGTTGCAAATATGGGCCCCCCGCGCGGCGCACCGGCAAGCCTGTACCGTACCACCTTGAGTCATCTGTGTCTAGTCAGATGTCATTAAGCCAATATCCATGCAGTGCCACATGGCATGTATACATACTAGGCAGCGTGTTGGCCGGCCCCGGTGCATCTGCAAATGAATGAACGAGTTGGTACGTCAAAACGTACTTCTTTCATGCGCATGCTTGCGCGTGCCGGGTCGCGCCAACCAAGCATTTTGTTATATCTACAGCATCACAGTAGTGGTAGCTTCCGACCTTGAAAATTGCAAGTCATGCACATACCGTACATGTTACGTCAAGCCCCCGTCAAGCATGCTGGCAATTGGCCGGGCCCAGTATAGTATGTCAACCATATATTTTATTGACGGTTATCAAGCTGGTTACGTTGTTGCATGATAAAACATTTATGTGCAAGCGATTGCGCAATATACCCCTAGCCGTATGTATTTCACGGTTCTGAATGCCAAACAGTTTGACCGTCATCATTCACCCAGTCCGACACTAATTGTTGTAGCGACCCGAGTGGCTACCAAGAACGCAATGTCTTGCCGGCTTATGTCATGAACCCATATCAAGCCAATTGTCAATATCCAAATGCCCGTTTGCAGCGCGCCGAAATATTGGACTCAGATGTGACGCAGCGGAAGCCATCATTGGTGCATCGTTCATGATATGATGAACATCGTTCAAAACTAAAACGGTTCCGAGTTAGTTCAACGAGATTAACTTCATTTCACAATATCCAGAGAAGACCTCTCTTTAAGCCGAACGTCACTGTTGCTATGTAATGACATTCAAAGTGAAGATATATGATATGATATGATATCATATCATATCGGTCACTGCTGATTGGTTCATTGCAACAATTGCACATATGCTGCTATGGGTCCGATCTTGAAGCTTCTCTGCAACTCTTGATTTCTTTCAATTGCAACGCTTTATGAACAACTTAGACAGGATGGAGAAACACACTACAAGAAGAGTACAACCATCCCAAGTCCGTCCTCATAATTTACTCAACCGTGCTTCAAGAGCCTTCCAACGAGCAAACGGAATGTCGGGGAACTCCACTTTAAACTCGGTTGCTGTCGTTTCCTTTGCGGTCTGCAAATCGAACTCCTCCTTCTCTAGACAAGACATCATCTCCTTCTTGTTTGCATCAGATATTTGATCCAGACTGTAGACAACGGACTCGAGTGTCTGCCCTGAGTGAGACACCCCGTTCCCGACCGGCTCAGCACTTGCGTTGGTTGCTGGGCCCCTTGCCGCGTTACGTGCTTGCGCACGTTCGTCAGAAGTCTGTTGTACCGGGGTGGGATTTTTGGCAGCATCTCGGGCAGGCTTTTCGGCTGCTCTCCGGGCCTTTGCTTCCTCCGAAATCTCTTCTCGCATGGAGGTTATGAAACGCATCCTGTACCCTCTTACTGCTAACAAAGCGCTGGCCTCCTCCCAACCCGAAGGTTTGTACCGAGTTGACCGTTTCACCTTTTTTCATGACCAAGACTGAAATCCGAGCTCCTGTCGGTTTTGAGTTTTCCAGCACCTGAGCGGCTAACGTGAGCTGATCCCACGCCTTCTTATGACTTACCCTCGTTGCTAGCTTTTTCTGAAGAGCGGCCGCCCTCTTTTCTGCGGCCTTGTTTCCTAGTTCTACCCCGCATTCCTCGTTTGAACACTTCTTCGCCCTAATCCCGTTCCACGTGTCACAATCTTCACATTGCTTCTTCATGATCTGCTTCCGAGAGGTGGGGGACATCTTCGACAACGCCTCCTTCCGATTGAAACCGCCTCGCTCCTTGGGTCCTAGAGTGAAAGACAGAAGTTCATGAATCTTGATATTGTGACCTGCCCTTTCACCGTCGTAAGCGGCCCTCGAAAATTGGCGGGTCAGCAACGAGAGCATGTAGATTCGCAACGTTTCAAAGCGTTCGCTTAGGCTTTGGGCAGTGAGCGCTATCGGTCCAAGGTTTCGGACGATGCTCCGACCAGAAGCTTGCACTGGAGCAGACAAGTTCGTTTAATCAAGCAAAAAGTACGTCTAACAAGACTCACAAACCGGACGAACGTCCTAAAGTATAGCGCTGCTTACCAATCGTTGGCGGCGGTCTGAGCAAAATTGTAAGACCGAATCAAACGACAGCGCAGCTCCGCTTGAACTTCGACTCGCGTCTTCAAAAAGGCGCATCAAGCAGTGAACTTACCAGTCTTTCCATCGCCTTTCTTCAGTGGCGTCCTCTTGGATGACGACCTGCTGGGGGTTGGGGAGGCCGGCTGCTGAGCAGGCCCCTTCGACCGGGGCGACATCCGCCTCTCGACTCCAACACCAGGACTGAGGGGTGGCCGTTCTCGGGATCGCTGGGGGGTGCCCTCTTTCCTGGCCGGTGATGTAGTATCCCTTGAGGGGGACGCAGTGCCGGCGCCGTCTGCAAGGGTTACAATTCCTGAGACTCTCAGTGCCATCATGGCATGAGCAATGGAGTGTCGTCGCGAGACAGAGTACCAAGGAGAAAGCCCGCTTGAGAACGGTTGCGACGGAACCTCCGGGCCAACCGAGGTTGAAGGGAGTCACACAAGATATGAGCTTTTACTAGACAAAGCAGGAAACAACAGGCCACCGACTGAGGTGAGTGCTCGGCTTAGTCCTCGCATGCACATGAAGGCTGTTTTCGTCAAACTGGCTGTCACCCGCTCCCGAAGCTTGGGACCAGCGCTCACCTACTGCGGCCGAGGCTTGCCGTGCTCGCGATTGTACCGGCGGACTGTTTGGAAGCCGCACGGTCGGGACTGGACCCGTCGGAGGCTTCTCTGTGGCCCTGCCGGACACCGTCTGTGGTCCGGCCTCAACGTTTGCCGCAACGTTCTCCCCTGCCGCGGCTACAAACGAAGATAAGAAGAGATGTCAACTGGGAGTATAGTAAACCTGCTTCAAATCTGTCAAAAAGAGAGCTGGGTCTTTCCTGTAGCATCCGAAAGACCCCATCTCGATGATATGGGGGCTAGATTACACCCTCGTAACAGTTGTGGAGAATCGGTACTACACCCGTTGGCACGACAATGTTGTTCCTACGAGCAAATAACCAAGATCCTTATGTCAGGTTTCAGACAATTTAAAGGCTTCATAGCGGACCTGTACAACTTTGTTACGGTGTAAATTTGTGTAGCGGTTGAAAATTTCTGAACGCGTGCGCCTAATTTCCGCTTTCTTTCCGTTTTGGGTGACGTGAAGCGATTAATGAGGACAAATTGAACCCGATGTTGATCAAGAGCACACAAAACGTCGTTCTCTGGCTTACAGGGACGATGGGGCCCGAAAGAAATTTCCCAGACTTAGGAGGAAACACAAACAGGTTCGACATAGCGACACATCAAAAGGTGGCGGCACCACATCAATCTGGTTTAGGAAACTTGTGAAGCACATCGCAGATCCTGAAATGATGGCTCAGCTAATCAGTGAGCCCGCTCACAAAGAAGTTAGTCGCATGCATGCTAGATGAGGTGGGCGAAAGCGGATTTCTTGGCAAGAAACTTCCGCTCGTAAAAGATTCGTTGACGCTGAGGCAGTAGAAAGCTGTTGTGAAACGAAGAAGGAACTTTCAGCAGATCGAACTCACTCGAAGCGTTGCGTTTTGAGGGCGTTGGCGTTGGTGAGCTGCTCTGTGCTTTTCGGGGATCTGCGAACAGTAACAATAAACCATCAGATCGTCGATTACAGCATTCCAACTATTTGGACGGGCTTCTATTGCACGATGCACTTCCCAAGTCTGGTCGAATCATTCAAATGGTGCAGTTCATGGAGCTGGTAGACTGCTTCGTCAGCTCCCTATTCCATCAAATCCAGTATTATGAGCGCTCATTCCGCAGTGGGCTTGCAGCGTCAGCTCTTCTGCTAACTAGCACTTCATAAAATGGGGATTTTACGGAAAGATGGCCCCTCCAAGTGCTTCATGGCTACCTATCAACCAGATCAGCACTGTCCCTGAAGTGAAACTTACCTGCCTCTGCGTCAATTTCCTCGTCGTCAGTCTCAAGTGAAGGGCCCGGCTTTCGCACAGCAGACCTGGTCTCCGCCTGTTGGTCCCCAGGTCCTGCATCCATCGATGCCATGTCCGCTTAGGAGCTCAGGTGAAAGTAAAGAAGTAGGCTCTGTGAGGAATGCAAGGGCGGCACTTCACACGTCCAAAACCGTAATTCCAGTCTTGCAAAAGTCTTAGATATATGAGACTCTAGGAACGTGGTTGGTCGATGACTTGTGCCAGGAAAGTCTGATCCTGAACAATCGAAGCCCTGAACCCTCATGACCCGAAACGTCCAGGCTTGGTTGTTTATATCTGGTTCCCTAAGGTCACCGATGCAGCAACATAGGCAGGACACCTATCACTCTTTTTGTGGAATGTGTGGGCAGTACTGTTGATCGTATGATCCGACAAACCAGAGTTATGAAGGACAGATATCAACAAGTTGCAAGAAATGAGAACTGCCCCTTCTAACCTACAGTATGAAGCGGTAGCATATGTAACAGCCAATTTTTTTTGTTACACTGGACCCTCTCACCTGCAGTTTCAGGAGCCTTCGGTTCGTGCATTTCTTCGACGCTGCTGGGGACCTTTCCCTTCGCACGCTCCTGCACAGGGAATGGGGAAGCATGTATGAAAACGTTTCTGCAAGCAGACGCCTCAAGTGACGCTGACTGGAAGCTTCTGATCTGCAATTGTAGCTGCAATATTCTTCATTGAGTAAATGAAGGCTGGTAATGCGCAACCATCAGATTACAAGGTTGTGATGGTTTCACATTGAAAGGACGTTCTGTACGAAGAATAAGAGGTTGCTTTAGGGTGCCCCAAGGACTCCAATACTTGTCTAACTTTGACCACTTCGCTTCATGGAAGATCCAGGTGCCATGCCAGAAACCCACCTTTGACCTGGCCTTCTTCTTAGGACCTTCTGGACCCGCATCCCCACAATCTACCTCTGTTGCTGCATCCCGCTTCTACCCCTTGCGTGGCCCTATTTCCTGCAACCAGTCGAAGGGCTTGAGCCCTTGCACTTGCAGGCGACGCCAGACCAAGAGGTATCCAAGCAAGGTGCCTTGCAGAGGCACAAGAATCCTACTTTTCCACACAATCAACCAGTACTTCATGCTTTTCAAAAAAGCTATCTGTCTTTTGACGCAGGGTAAGACAGATAGAAGGGCACCAGAGCAAGCTGCATATAGTACCAGATTGCAGGTGTACATCATGACGCACAAGTAAGAGAGTAGTAGGGAGCCATGACATTTAATGCGACGCACAAGTAAGAGAATAGAAGGGAGCCATGACATTTATGCATCAACTGTGCACTGACCTTGGCAGGCAAGTCCTCCTCCTTCTGAAGTAAGGACAGCAGGAACGCCTGAAGGTGCCCTTTGCCTGACATCAACACCTTTCGCAGCTCCTTCCCCACCAGTTTGAAGGTCCCCTTCTCAATTTTCTCAGCTGCCATCCCCAAACCTCCTACCAGAAGTGCATAAGCAATGCTGGCCCATGTCTCATGCTTTATCGCTGAAGCAAAAGCGGACGTTGCCATTGTACTGGTTTCACTGCATATTCCCTGGTAAACTGAAATTATCAAGTATCCAACGTTCACACGGGATGTGAAACACAAGCTCAGGCTAAAGAAGCCCTCTTGTTTCCAGCTCTCTGCAGCTGGAGAAACTTGATAGTACTCCTTGCAGAATACCTTGTAATCCTTGACCACCTTCTTGACAGCGGTCTCCACAGCTCTCTTTCCAGAATCCTTTAAAGGGCACTTTAACGCAGCCAGTAGAGCCATCACAGCATAGCAGCTCTGACCTTACATGCTGTTCATAAACAATGCTTCCTGTGTGGCAGTATTTTCCACCTCTTCAGCTTGAAAGGAAGCAGCCGCCCGCCTTGGTGGCTACTGAGCCTCAGATCTGCCCCGACTCCTGCTTCGTGCTCAGATTTCAAACTATTTTGGGTGTTTCATTCATCACATATTTTGAAGGTTTTTACCATAGTAAGGCCGCGAAGTTTGGATGAAAATCCCAAATTTGCCGCACGGAATACGATAGAAAACCTCAAATTCCAAGAACGATTTACGAAGCTTTCGATCGATATCAATGCCTTGTTGTTTTGAGAGGTTTTCTCAAAGTAGACCGTGAGTCTGGGTTGGGTCGGCTCACAGCTGAGCCGGGAATTTTAGCCGGGGTATAAGCCGACCAGGTACCCCGGCTCTTTACAGCAGTGGCCCGGCCAACTGCTGTAAAGAGCAAATCTTCCTGTGAATTAATAACAGGTGAATACACTATAAACCTTGACCCGGCCAAGTAGGGCGAATCCGTACTGAAAAGGTATACCATTAAGTACGAAACGTACTGAATTCTCAAGCGGCCTGTCTTTCATGTCGCCGCCGCTCTGAAATGGGTAAAGCTAAGTTTTAAGGACGAAAGCGATCTTATAAGATATCCAAGAATGAGACCAGTCCCGCTTTTATTGTTACTTGAAGGTCCGGCCGTCAGGCCGTTAATATTTAAAATCACAGGGGAGGATAAGAGATACCATGTTAAGGACTGGCTTGCCACTGTTACGAAGTGGCTCGACTCTGGGTCATGTGACCCTCACCGGCGAGTGGGCATGGCCCTAACCTTTTTGGATAAGGGGGCAGCCACTTACTGGAGAGTGCCATGCCGAGGGCAGTCCGTGCCGGGTAGTGTCCAGATAGCGACACGTGGCGCAGACGTGCCACGTGGCGGCGATAGGGCGAGCCGCGGCCGGCTTGCGAGCCTGGCGCGCGCGCCGCGGGTAGAGTCTAGGGTTAGTCCACTAGTGTGTGGTTAGTGGTAGACCGCCGAGGTTACCGGCCGGG